CCAAGTTAAATTGCTATCATTTGTAACGCCTAATGTTTTTTTTTGTTTTTTTGTTTGTTCATTACCATTACTAATAGGTAATTTGTCACGATAGAGCTCAAGCAGAGGCTTATTTAAGTCTAATGTCTGTAACTTGTGTCTGGTTGCTATTACCATAGATTTATTTTTAGTTATGTTATAGGGCTGTACCGAATAGTGATTTTCACTATTCGGCCGAATACGAATAACGGGACCAACTATTCGGTCGAATACGAATAGTGTATAGTGTATAAAATATATCTTTAAAAAAAACATGCATAATGTCAAATGTACGTTGAACTTTTACTTCACATAAAGTAGCACAGAATAGTCATCTTCTTCTTTAGCATTCTGAGCCCTTGAGGTTTACTGTTACAGATATCACTCGTCTCCATTCATCTCTCTGGCTGGCCTTATCTTCACAATTTGTCACACCAATTGTTTGCAGGTCTGACTGGACATTAACTCTCGAACTTCTTTTTTGTCTGCCTCGTGGTCTACGCCCATTCCTCTCTCAGGTGTATACAGTTTTACTTCTGACATTCTTTCAATATGCCCCAACCATTTTAGTCTGTTAACTCTCATGATGCCTGTGATCAATGGTGATTTAAACAGATTAGGTGTAACTTTGTTGCTTCTCACTCTCCATTCCCCGCTGTTAGCATCTTTGATGGGTCCAAAGATTTGTCGCAAAACTGCTTTCGAAAACCTGTAATAAGGGCTCATCTCTTTTATTTCTGCTATAAGTTTAAATGCCATATAAAACGACTGGTCTTATCAACGTTTTATATATTTTGATCTTGGTTTTGCGAGACAGACACTTTAACTTTAGCAGATGTTGAAGGGCATAGTATACTTTATTTCTAGATTGTATTTCTCCAATCGGCATGTTGGAGCAGTTGAAGTTTGCACTCAAGTACTTATATGTTTCCGTTCGTTTGATTTTCATATTATCGACTTGGATGTGGGCGAAGTTTGTATTCTTTCCATGTCTAGTTAGTATTAGTACAGAATAGTAAACATTTAAACATTTTATGTTTTGCATCCTTCAGTCATTCTGTGGTAATTAGGAATGAAATAATCCTATTATAACAAGTAACAAAACTTGGAAATTGTCAATGACAGCTTAGTTAATGCATGAAAGCAGCATTAGCTTTCAACAAAACCAATCGTTACATGTTGTCAGTATTAAGGCCGTGTACGCAGAAGCCGGTGTAAGGTAACTAATATTCTTATTCGGCCCGACCGCAACCATTCGGCCGAATACCGAATAGTCAAAAGGTCCACTATTTGGCCCCGAAGCAAATACGAAGCAAATATTCGGTACAGCACTATCATGTTAATTTGCATGCGACTAGCATTACTCAATTTTATAAGCTTATCTGGTTTGTTCTGTAATGAACGTCCTAAATCATCATAGTTCTCATGATTAGTGTATATAGTACAGTCGTCGGCAAATAGGTCACATCTTATGCTGTAGAAACCAAACAAGAGAGCGGGACACACCTTAACCCCCAGGAAAGTGGACCAGCCCAACAAAGTTGTCAATGAAAACTGACCTACTTTGTTTGGGAAGACTAAGTCGAACTGAATTAAAAATTGTAAAGAAGTTAAGCCGACTAACCCTATGTTGTTAAAAAAAAAATTACGTTAACATGTGATGTCCAGACCGGCACTGTTTGTGAAAATACCCTGATAGTATACGGCAGACCATGACCTACTTTAGTAGCCCACGGGCAGATATTTTGCCCAATTATGCAGCGGCTGCATTAAAAACCAAACGGATGAATCACAATTATGTTTTGCAACGCTTCGACTCTAAAAACAATCTAGCCACGTCTGTCAGCGAATAGCCTCTAGACAGCAGATTTCGTATTTGCTAGAATCATAATAATAATAATAGCTGGCGTATTGCTGACCATATCATCCACCATACTACTTACATACATCCAGTTTTAACATATGGATGTGAATCCTGGACAATCGGTAGGCAGGCCAAACAACTTTTAGAGGCCTCAGAGATGTGGTTTCACAGAAAAATGCTTAAAATACCTTGGACAGCCAAAAAGAGCAACCAAGAGGTTTTAAAAGACATGGGTCTAAGTGCCAAAAAGAAATTATTAAACATCTTTAATGCCAGCTGGATTTTTAGTATAGTTCCTCCAGCCTGGAGGAAGTCTGAAATCTTCGTAATCCTGAAACAAGGAAAGCCGAAGAACAACGCAGACAGCTACAGACCCATCAGCCTCACTAGCTGTCTGTGCAAACTATTTGAAAGATTATTGAACAACCGACTGACCTGGTTCCTAGAGAAAAACGTCAAACTAATGGAGGAACAGTCAGGTTTTCGACGTTGTAGATCAACAGAAGACCAAATTACATTTATTGCTCAACACATTGAAGATGCATTCCAGGAAAAAAAGCACACTATTGCAGTTTGGGTGGATATGGAAAAGGCCTTCGACAAAGTGTGGAAAAATGGGCTGAAATAAACGCTACTTGAAAGTGGAATATCCCATCACATGCTTGGGTGGATCGTAAAATATCTTGAAAATCGATCTGCAAGAGTCAAGATACAGGGTTCAAGGAGCAGATCAGTCTCAATGACACATGGAGTTCCACAAGGCGGAGTTCTGTCCCCAATTATTTTCCTAGTTTACATTAACGACATAAAGTCAACCCTCTGTAATGGAGTTCAAGCCGTTATGTATGCCGATGATCTAGCGCTACTGAGTTCAGAGGAGGACACTGAAAAAGCACAGACAAGGCTTCAAGAATCCCTCGGAACTCTAGAGAGGTGGTCCAATAGCTGGTACATGCCTGTAAATGGGGCCAAAACCACACACACCATTTTCAGTCTCTCTACCAAACCCCAGAAAGTTTCACTTAGATATGGCAGCCAGGCACTGATACATGATGACTCACCGTCATATTTAGGAGTAACCTTTGACTCAAGACTCACATGGAGAAAACAGATAGAAAAGACACAGAGCAAGGGACTCAAGAGAACACAACTGATGAGGAAGTTAGCTGGAACAGACTGGGGGGCAAACCTCAATGTCCTTAAGAGGACCTATACAGGCTATGTGAGGCCAACACTAGAATATGGAATAGCTGCTTGGGGCACAGCAGCTAAATCAAATTTTCAGAAAGTCTCAAAGATCCAAAACCATGCTCTCCGTATTATGACAGGGGCAATGCGCTCCACGCCCATATAAGATATGGAAACAATTACTGGTCTCCATAATCTGGAAGATAGGAGAGACACAAAGATCCTCACCCAGCTCTCCAAATACCACCACTTTCAAGAACAACCCATGTACAGCCGACTGCAGAAACCCCAGAAGGCTAGACTAAAGAGAACTTGCTTTATTAAGAACGCAAATGCCAAGCTCGCTGTCCTTAAACTCCCTCCCATAATACCAAATGTTCCACTTAAACCTTACAACGACTGCCCCCCTTGGCTTAGGGATAGCCTACCAACAGTCAGAACCACTGTAACAGGGGTCTCCTCCAAATCATCAATGAGCAGCACTGATATGAAATCAACTACAGAAGGAGAGATCAATAGACTTTACCCACACCAGAGTTGGATTCGAGTGTATACAGATGGTTCAGCCAAGAGAGCAGTTAGAGACGGAGGAGGAGGAATATACATAGAATGCCCAAATGGTTTAAAAATCAACCAGGCTGTACCAACAGGTTCATATTCCTCCAATTACAGAGCAGAGGCAGAAGCACTTCTAGCGGCATGTTCTTTCCTGAATGGACAACAGCACAGTAAATATAGCAGAGTGGTCTTTCTGACTGATGATATGTCAGTTCTACAAGCAATGGTTAACCCAAAAGACACTCAGTTTGTAGACTTGACGCAACAGCTGATTTACTTAGGCTCTTCAGTAGAACAATCTGAATTGCAGTGGATTCCAGGTCACTGTGGCTTAGAAGGCAATGAAATAGCGGACAGATTGGCCAGAAGCGGCAGTGACATGGTACAACCAAATAGCGACTTAACCCACCAAGAGATGAAAACACTAATACAATCTAGTATCCAAGAAAGGTGGCTGGATACCCACACCAGATTTTCTCCCCAAGACTCACTTCATCGCCTCTCTAGAGAGGGACAGTCTATTATATTCAGACTAAGGACAGGGCACAACAGATTTCGTCAACATATGTTCAAATTTTTCGGTGTAGGAAATACGGAGACGTGTCCCTGCAGCGTGGCACCCGAAAATGCTGAGCATGTGCTCCAACACTGTCGACTGTATGCTGACAACAGAGACGCAATCTGGCCTGTTCCAACCACAATTAAGACAAAACTGTATGGTACAAAAGAGGATATGGATTGCACGATAGCTTTCATAAAGGCTACCGGCCTCCTGATATAAGTTTTCTGACAGAAGGATCGAAGAAGAAGAAGAAGACTGACATCAGAAGGAGACAGTCATAATTTTTCGGCCATGTTATGAGAAGAGGGAAAATAGAACATGTTGTGACCACTGGAAAGATCTGTGGAAGGAGGGATAGAGGAAGACAACGAGAGAAGATGCTTGCCAGTCTTGTTGCATGGCATGGAGGTGTGTCGGCACACGAACTGATACATGCTGCAGGAGATCGCGGATTATGGAGAGGCATGATCGCCCACGCCAGTCGGCAAGGCACCTGATGATGATCATCCACCAAGTGACGATTGGTCTATCAAATATAGGTCTAGCCCTGTATGCCCAGAACACTTTAAGGCATGGAAAAGGGTCCTTTACCCTACTTCTAATAATATAATGCAATATAATGTAATAAAATATTAAACCCACTAATTTTATAACAGTATAATAAACCACTAAATGACTACCCGCACTTGTGTTTGTTTCTGTTGTTGCCTCGACTCCTTCGCGAAATATTGCTCATATTGTCCGGGTCCCCTGATATTAAAAAACAAAAAGTTGGGTTTAAAGTACGGAACAAGAGAAAGAACAGTTTACCTGGAGACGAAGTTGTAGACGAACGGGTTGATGGCGTGATTGGAGTACCACAGAATTCTGGTCATGTAAATCATTGTGAAGTAGCTGATGAAATCGATGCTGTCAGTGACGTGTGGTGGGGCAAACATGCTCCACAAGGCAATAGTTCTGTGCCGTGGGAACAATAAAATATTAAAATTAAAACAAATTTTGTTGAGGGTTCCTGTTTTCATAACTAGATTTACATTAAATAGTTTGCTAGTGTCGGCTCTGTGGCTAAGTCGATGCGAACGCTTCGTAATGCCGCGGTGCCGGGTTCGATCCCAGCTGCGGGCCATGCGCCTTGGGTTGGTTTCGACAGTGTTATCAAGAAAGCCGACCGTCCAGAAAGCAATGGCAAAACTACTGGTTCTCCAACGTCCTGTAAAGATACGCAACTAACCTGTTGAGATTGTTGGTGCTTTCTGAGAACTGGGGTGAAAAACAGGTTCGTAAGTATCCCTACAGGGGCTTAGGCATATTTAAGCACCTCGCAAGTGCCCCCCGCCCCGACCTCACCCTCACCGGCAATTTTTCTGGGAGGTAGCTAAGCTACACCACTACAACAATATGTAGTAGTCCCCCTCCCCCTTCCCCCCCCCCCGCTCCTTTCAGAATCTGGTTATGCATTTAACATTTAAAATATATTTTTTTTTTCCCAATAAAATATCATGATACCCAGCACCACCACTAAAGGGCTCAAGCCCTTTTACTCCCCTCCCCCCCCCCCCAAATCCCCACATAAACTATTATAGAAAACAGGCACTTCAACAAAACATAATCCATCTATTACCCACATGATCTACCACATAAAATCACGTAAGAAAGACCAAAGAAAAAGACAACAGGCACTATAACTCGCATGAACTACTACAGAAAACAGACACTATTACCAACAAAAACTACCACAGAAAACATACGCTATCACCCGCAAGAGCTTCCACAGAAAACAGACACTATACTCACATAAACTACTATAGAAAACAGGCCCTCGCTATCATCCCCATCACCAACAAAAACTACCACAGAAAACATACTCTGTCACCCACAAGAGTTTCCACAGAAAACATACTCCATCACCCACAAGAGTGTCCACAGAAAACATACTCTGTCACCCACAAGAGTTTCCATAGAAAACATACTCCATCACCCACAAGAGTGTCCACAGAAAACATACTCTATCACCCACAAGAGTTTCCACAGAAGACAGACACTATGCTCACATAAACTACTATAGAAAACAGACCTTTGCTATCATCCCCATAAACTATCACTCGCATGCACAATCACAGAAAACAAACTACTAACCTGAAAGGCGTGTGGCAAATGAAGAACACAAGAACAACAGTAATGATGATTTGGGTCATCTGTCGCTTGAGTCGGACAATCTCCCTCGGGTAGTTCAAGGACTTTTCTTGCTCGCGCCTGAAGAGCGCCATCAACTTCATGTACACCTGCACACACGAGAGAACGTGCTTTCCTCACTGTATGTAGTAAAGTAATACTGTAAAACTTCGATTAACCGTCACCGTCTGGACCAGGGCTGTGACGGATAACCGAATAGAAGGATAACATAAATCTCCTAATACAGATGTACAGTAAAGTACCTTTTTCGTGTGGGTTCCGGGGTCCCATTGTGGGGAAAACAAGAACACTCCCAATGCATCCCCAACAAGCATGTCGTAGGAGTCGACTAATGGGCGACTTCCTTCGAAGTCGGAGTGCATCTGCCCAATCGACAAAGAATAACTAACTGTAGAGAAATAAGCCAGTAAAACGGATGTACACGCAAAACAGACCCTAGAGCAAAGCTAAATTCTAAATAAACAAACAAGCAGGACTTTCCGCTAGAGCTTAAAACCGGTGAACAATGAAGAGGAGAAGATGTTATACACTGGCGTGATTTTACTGCGGGGCTGGGATAAACATGTCAAAAAAAATCTTTTAGGAGCCATTATTACATAAATATTGTATTTACTTTTACAAAACGATCAATTTCAACTTCAGTATCAAAGTAGTAATGTTCAGTAAGGTATTGCAATACTATACGTTATGTCAAAATAATTGACAAGGCAGATTTGGTCAAGGTCCTTTGGGAACAAGCAACGGAATCAGTAGAAAACAAGATTATTACAGCTTCTAGAAAATGAGGCACCTGGGTGTAACCAGAGGGTTTGGCGGGCTCACAACACTCAGAGGAAAGGCAAGACGGACATATAACCCCAGATTGTGATCGGTACCATCAGTATTGGAACTCTGCGCTGGCTGCTGAAGATGAGGACAGAGCACGCACGGGAATGCCCCGAGTACTGTGAAGTCAATTCTGGACTCAGCTCCACATAAAATAATCTGTCATCTCTGTGTGTGTGTCTTTGAGGTTCGAGCTTTCTGCGAGGCAGTTATCGCGTATTTAACGCAGAAAAAGGATTGGTGTTGTATTTGCTTTTTACATTTCAAACCAGTCGACGTACTTTGATACCAATCGACGTACTTTGATACCAGTCGATGTACTTTGATACCAGTCGATGTACTTTGATACCAGTCGATGTACTTTGATAGCAGTCGATGTTCTTTGATACCAGTCGATGTACTTTGATACCAGTCGAAGTATTTTGATGCCAGTCGATGTACTTTGATACCAGTCGATGTACTTTGATGGCAGTCGATGTTCTTTGATACCAGTGATGTACTTTGATACCAGTCGAAGTATTTTGATGCAAGTCGATGTACTTTGATGCCAGTCGATGCATAAGGTCCGACAATTAGGTAATGAGACTGATTTTATTATGGCCAAGATAAATGTGTCATCTATGAAGCAAAGCATGGAATCTAAAGAGGCAACATTCATCTTTGATCTGGCAATTTTTCATAGCCGCTCGATAAGCAGACAATAAACAAGCCGCACCTCTGATTTAGTCAGAGGTGCATTGTTAACGTAATCATCACGCAGCAAAAAGCTAACATTAAATTCTTTTTAAAACTCAGAAAAAGCGCCACTGAAACAGTTAAATTGATGCAACAAGTGTATGGGCATTATTGTTTATCTCGTGCTCACAGTTTCAGTTGGTGTTCACGATTCAAAAGTGCTGAGGAAATGATTACTAATGCGCCTAGACCTGGACGCCAAATCTATGTTCGTAATGATGAACTGCGGCGTCCGTGGCTAAGGCGTTGCGAGTCCGACTCATAAGCCAGCATACCGCGATCGAAAACCACTGCAGGCTGCGTGGATTTTTGTCGTGGTATAGGACGCCGCAGGTCGACCCAGCCTAGAATGGGTACCAGGATGGGCTGTCCTGGGAAAGTAAAGACAGCCGGCGTAATGCTGACCACATTACCCACAGAGTGCTGATGGTCTGTAACAATATGGGACGCTCTGTCCATATGCCCGATGCGCCGAAAGGCGTGAAAAGGGAACTTTACTTTACTTTACTTTAATGATGAACTTATGGCAAAAGTCATAGAACGGATACAAGAAGATCATTGTTTTACTGTGAGGATGATGGCAGATGAATCTGGTGTTAATAGAGAAACCATTCATAACATTTTAGTGCAAGATTTTGGAAAGAAAAAAGTTGCTTGCTGGTTTGTACCACATTCGTTGTCTGATGACCAAAAATATCAGCGGGTTGAGTACCCAAGAGATATCATCCAAACAAGAATTTTTGGCCTAAAAACAATTGTGTGTTTTCAGCCTTCCACCCTAATCCCCAGATTTGTCTCCCTGTGATTATTTTTTATTCCCAAAATTAAAGTTGCGATTGAAAAGACGCTTCTTTAACGATACTGATGACATCCAAAGAGTCGTAACATAGACTTTAAGGGCAATAACAATAGAAGAACTATAGAAGTCGTTCCAGTGTGTGTTAGATCGTGCCACTTGCTATATCAATGCACAAGAAGTTTACTTTGAATAAAATACAGGTTTTATCTTCAACTGTTGATTAATTTAATTGTTATGAAATCAGTCTGATTACTCAATTGTCGGACCTTGTACTTTGATGCCAGTCGATTAACACTGATACCAGTCGATGTACTTTGACAACTGTTTCTGCTTCTGATTGTCTATCTGCAAGATGTTTTTCACTCCTACCACAATGAAGGTTAGCAGAAAAACAAGTGTCGGTTAATCGACGTTTAACCTGTACCGTTTTTTTTTTCATGAATTGGTTTAATCACATTTTCTAAATTTTAAAATCCGGGTCATCTTTATTACGTGAGCATCTCAAATACGTAACGGGTTGGGTGGGTGGGGGCGGGGGTGGGGGCGGGGGGGGGGGGATAGATAAAATACAGCTTTAAAAAAGCATGTCAAAAACGCCAGCTAATTCAGACTTTCCTTGAATCAGATGTTGAGGGCGGAAAAGAGCAGACATCACAGCCTAGCTGTAAAACTACCACATTCAAATTCAAATTCTCTTTCGTTGACCACTTTCAGCTAGGTCCGTTCACATTTCTGCTCACTTTCCTTTCAGCTATATTTGTGGTGACGTTTTCTGGTCATGATGTGTCTTCTGCGAGCCTCACGGTATTTAATAACAGCTTACTATGTTTAGCTACATTCAATAAAAGCTTACTATATTTAGCTACATTCAATAAAAGCTTACTATGTTTAGCTACATTCAATAAAAGATTACTATGTTAGCTACATTCAATAAAAGCTTACTATGTTTGGCTACATTCAATAACAGCTTACTATGTTTAGCTACATTAAATAAAAACTTACTATGTTTGGCTACATTCAATAAAAGCTTACTATATTTAGCTACATTAAATAACAGCTGACTATATTTAGCTACATTCAATAAAAGCTTACTATGGTTATCTCTGATTATAGAAAGGCTGACGACCGTGCAAAAGCTGGAGGGGAAATTCGGTCAGCCCTATCAATCCCGAAGATTTAAGTTTACAAAGAAACCCCTAAAATAATCTACGAAGTTGAGTTGTGGGGAAGAAAAATGTAAATTATAGACTTGGCAGAATGTCACGAGACCATAATTTACCTAGACAACTGGACACAGAAAACTCGATATCCGCCTTTGCCGATGGATCTCCCTAACTCCACTATCTACAATTGCGAAGCACCAAAGTATACTTAAGAGTACATCTTACAAGACTTGTCACAATCTGACAAGGAAATGAAATCGGGCACCAGGGACCACAATTCAAGACAACAATCGCGGTACCGGAAGTATTATGAAGAGTAGCATCTGGTTGTGCAACCCAAGTTGTGCAATGCCGGTATACGTATCTGACAAGAGTGGCTCGCCGAGGAATCATCATCAAGATGTGCCATGTCGAAACGCGTAGGTGGAAATGTTTCGCCATCTCAGTGACCATCATAATGAGGTCCGTTACCACGCCCCTCTTCAAGCTCTGCCCGTAGTTATCTCTTAGTTTTCACCTTAAAACCTCGTTAATGCGAACTTGCTTAAGACGAAAATAGGCTAAGATTTACAACACATTATATATTTAAAAAAATACGGGTTTTGATTTTGATAGGCACGCGTTGAAAGAAGTAGAAAGATCAAAGGACACACTAGTCCTGGAAAGTCAAAAACAAAAAGTAAGTAAAGGTCTCCACGTATAGGGCATATAGGGCTAGACCTATATTTTTATAAACCAATCGGCACAATATGGTGATGTGGTCATCATCACGTGACCGCCTTTACTTCCCGGGACTGCACCCGGTACCCTCTCAAGGCTGGGTCGACCTGGGAGTCAATGTCATTTTTGAAAAAAAGTCTGTCTCCTCCAGGGAGCGAACCCACGATCTTCCGATGCTCACACGAGCGTCTAGTCGCTAGGCCACACGGTTACAAAGAGGGAAGTCACCGGGGCGCAGCGGCTAGACACTCGCCTGCGGATCGGAAGATCGTGGGTTCGCCCCCTACACCCTTGCACACACACACACACACACGCACGCACGCACGCGCAAACACACACAAACATTTGTATGCTGAAAATACATACTTTTGTAACTTTGCCCCCCACCCCCTTTTTTCCCCCGGGCCTCAGTAATGACACCCAGTGAGGCCCGCACCTTCTGAACGCTACTTGCTACGCGTTTGCACACACTTAAGCCCATAAACTCACACACAATTATATACATACATAAGCCCATAAACTCACACACAATTATATACATATATAAGCCCATAAACTCACGCACAATTATATACATACATAAGCCCATAAACTCACACACAATTATATACATACATAAGCCCATAAACTCACGAACAATTATATACATACATAAGCCCATAAACTCACACACAATTATATACATACATAAGCCCATAAACTCACGCACAATTATATACATACATAAGCCCATAAACTCACACACAATTATATACATACATAAGCCCATAAACTCACACACAATTATATACATACATAAGCCCATAAACTCACACACAATTATATAAATACATAAGCCCATAAACTCACACACAATTATATACATACATAAGCCCATAAACTCACACACTCATAATATATACACCTGTATTGACATATAGGCACGCCCTTGCACAAACACACACGGTGGACCACTAAATGTAAGATGCTTAACGGTCTGTGGCAGGGAAGAAAGTGGAAGAGATAGAGTGGAAGAGAGAGCGTGGAAGAGAGAAAGTGGAAGAGAGAGCGTGGAAGAGATAGAGTGGAAGAGATAGAGTGGTAGAGAGAGCGTGGAAGAGAGAGCGTGGAAGAGATAGAGTGGAAGAGTGAGCATGGAAGAGATAGAGTGGAAGAGAGAGCATGAAGAGATAGAGTGGAAGAGATAGAGTGGAAGAGATAGAGTGGAAGATAGAGCGTGGAAGAGAGAGCGTGGAAGAGAGAAAGTGGAATAGAGAGCGTGGAAGAGATAGAGTGGAAGAGATAGAGTGGAAGAGACAGCGTGGAAGAGAGAGCATGGAAGAGAGAGAGTGGAAGAGATAGAGTGGAAGAGATAGAGTGGAAGAGATAGAGTGGAAGAGATAGAGTGGAAGAGACAGAGTGGAAGAGATAGAGTGGAAGAGATAGAGTGGAAGAGATAGAGTGGAAGAGATAGAGGGGAAGAGATAGAGGGGAAGAGATAGCGTGGAAGAGATAGCGTGGAAGAGAGAGCATGGAAGAGAGAGCGTGGAAGAGATAGAGTGGAAGAGATAGAGTGGAAGAGATAGAGTGGAAGAGATAGAGGGGAAGAGATAGAGGGGAAGAGATAGCGTGGAAGAGATAGAGTGGAAGAGAGAGCGTGGAAGAGAGAGCGTGGAAGAGAGAGCGTGGAAGAGAGAGCATAGAAGAGATAGAGTGGAAGAGATAGAGTGGAAGAGATAGAGTGGAAGAGATAAGAGTAGACGATCTTTGACAAAATTACTCGTATTAAACACCTTTTTATACGCCTTTAGGCGTATTGGGCATATACGAATACACCTATGTTTCATAGTCCAGTCAGCACTTAGTGAGTGATGTGGTCAGCTTCTCGCCGGCCGCCTTTACTTCTGACGATTTTACCTGTTACCCATTTAAGGTTGGATCGACCTGTCATCCAAGGTCATTTTTGTAAGAAAGTTTAAATTTTTTTTTTAAGTCAAGCCCCATTAAGAGCTGAACCCACGACTTTCAGATCTGCAGGCGACTGTGTAGCCGTAATGCCGCGGTCATTTCCCTAGTGTATTAAATTATTTTTTCAGGGTACGTAATAAGGAAAAAAAAATTGTCATTACCAAGCAATTTCCCATAACTTTATTCCTATCTGAGCAAATTATATCCCCTGGGTGAATTGATAATAAAATGAACAATCGTGAAATGGTTCCTTTATGCAGAACTCTTTTAGCATAAGATTTTGCGAGCTTCTGCACGTGCTGTATAGGCGCTTGTATTCCGGGTCTTAGATCTTCCATTTATCCATTGCTTGACTGGGCGACCTCTAGTTCTGTTAAGGTCAGCCGATTGCGGGGTGATCGTTGACACTGACAATTGTGTTTCCTTCAAGACACGTTTTGCTGTTGCAAATTCCCAGTTGCTGGTCCCGGTGTCAGAACATTCCGTTGCTACGCTACTAAGCTGAGTGCTTGGTGTGACACTGTGAGCTGTGGAATCATGCAAATGTTTTTTAACTGTTGTGCTTGCGGAGTGTTGTTGTCAGCACTAAAATGGCGGGTGGTACACCTTCATTAACTCATGCTTACCCTGGTATAAAAAGTTTTTTTTTTTTTCTAAATTGGAAAACTTTACCAAAACCCGCTGTCGCATTTTGACTTGGCACAAAATGAAGATTATGTGACTATAATATACTTTACCTTGGTATACAGCAGTAAAATCATCACAAGTGGCAGAATAAAGAAGAGCAGGGTTGTCACAACGATGTAAGCCTTGTGCCAGGACTTTTCTATGGGCGTCTCGCAGCGATCCACCGGGGTTCCTGTAATGATAGATACATCTCTGCCTTAATTTACCACCCTTTAGAGAGGAATTCTCGTGTGGGTCCCAGGACACCATTGTGTGGGAAAACAAGAATAGACCCACTACCGTTTCAATTACCAAGTCGCAAGAGTCGGCTCATTAGAAGCTTTCTTCGAAGCGCTACGGAGCACGTTCACTGCGTTGAGCAACTTCAGACAGACTTGAGTTAGAAGTAGAACGGAGCACTTGTGGGTTATTACCCGTGTGCCATGATGTTGTTCAAACTTCAAACCTTCGAAGTGCATCAGCCCGAGCGGCAAGTAACAACCAGCTGCACACGCAAAAAACCCAGTAATTCAGATATGCACGCAAAACTCAGGCTCTGATTCAAAGCAAAAGTGTTAATGGACGAACAACCAGGAGAAGAAGAAAGAAGAAGAGGAAGAAGAGAAAGATGAAGGAGGAGGAAGAAGAAGGAGGAGGAGGGGGAAGAAGGAGAGGAGAAGAAAGAGAAAGAAACGGAAGAAGATGAGAAAGAGTAAATGAAGAGAAGGAAGAGGGGGAGAAAAGAGGACGGAGAAAGGAGAAGAAAGAATAGAGGAGAAAGAAAGAAAGGAAAAGAAAGAAAGAAAAGAAAGAAAGAAAGGAAAAGAAAGAAAGAAAGAAAGAAAGAAAGAAAGAAAGAAGAAAGAAAAGAAAGAATAGAAGAAAGAAAGAAAGAAAGAAAGAAAAGAAAGAAAAAAAAGAAAGAAAGAAAAGAAAGAAAGAATAGAAAAAGGAAAGAAAGAAAGAAAGAAAGAAAAGAAAGAAAGAAAGAAAGAAGAAAGAAAGAAAGAAAAAGAAAGAAAGAAAGAAAGAAAGAAGAAAGAAAGAAAGAAAGAAAGAAAAGAAAAAAAAGAAAGAAAGAAAAAAAGAAAGAAAGAAAGAAAGAAAAAAGAAAGAAAGAAAGAAAGAAAGAAAGAAAGAAAGAAAGAAAGAAAGAAAGAAAGAAAGAAAGAAAGAAAGAAAGAAAGAAAGAAAGAAGAATTACTTTTGTAAACTGTCTAGTGTGTTATTATTCATCTATACAACCACATATCTACCACTTCCACATAACTAAATTGCTTACCATCAACATAAATTGCTTGTTTGAACTGGGTAATGAACAACATAGGTACGGCGCCACCAAGAGAGGATAACCATACAAAGACGAATGATTTGAAGAAGCTGCACAGATTTGCCGTTCTGGTCGTGGAGCTATAGGCAACCCTGTGTCTTTCAACGCTAATGGCAAGTATGGTCAGGGCGCTGGCGTTTCCCACGACATTTTCAAGAAAAGGTACCAGTTTGCCTGTTTGTGTAAAAAAAAAAAAAAATAATCACAAGACTAATGAAAAATGCCAAGGGAAACAAATTTGATGGAATATACACGGAAACGAAATAACAGAATTTACAACATAATGAAACATACACGAAACAGTATTTAATAAAATAAACACAGGAAACGGTATGATGCAGCATATCAAGGGGGACAACATAATGAAACACACAGGAAACAGTATGATGCAGCATATCAAGGGAGGCAACATAATGAAACACACAGGAAACAGTATGATGCAGCATACCAAGGGGGACAACATAATGAAACACACAGGAAACAGTATGATGCAGCATACCGGGGGGCGGGGGCAACATAATGAAACACACAGGAAACAGTATGATGCAGCATACCGGGGGAGGGGGGGGGGGAGGGGGCAACATCATGAAACACACAGGAAACATTATGATGCAGCATACCAAGGGGGACAACATAATGAAACACACAGAAAACAGTATGATGCAGCATATCGGGGGGGGGGGGGGAGGGGGCAACATAATGAAACACACAGGAAACAAATAATAGAACACACCAAAAGGGACACAATAAAATATACACAGGTAACAGTATAATGGAACATTTTAAGGGAAAAAGCGTAATGAAACACACAGGAAACAGTATAATCCTAGATTTGGCTCTTGCCAGGGGCCGCAATAAAGCCAAGCAATAGATATGGTCTAATGACAATTATATATTCCTTACTTCCTTCTTAGGACGTTATTTTTTGTTATTTGAAGCCCCACTCTGGCTTTTGCCAGGGGCCGCAATATAGGCAGGTCATCATTATGGCCAGATGTCTGAACGCGGTTTCTGGGACCTCTCCAAGGTGATCCTCATCCGCATGGTGGCACTTTGTGTCATCGGGTGTTTATCGCTTGTGTGATGTCCTGGTGGGGTAAAAGAAGACAGATAGATAGACACAATGAATTATACAGAGAAAACAGTACAATAAAACAGAACATAGATACACTTCGAGGACTGCTTCCACGTTGTTACCCGTGCGATGAAACAGGAATTAAAACATGCTCAAAACTGAAGACCATTTTGAAAACTAAGCATGATTTCCGAAAAGTTTAATACAGCCATTTTATGTCAATTTAAGTGTGTGTGTGTGTGTATATGTATATATATATATATATTATATATATATATATATATGTGTGTGTGTGTGTGTGTGTGTATGTGTGTGTGTGTGTGTATGTATGTGCATAATGTAAATCTTGATCATCATCGCTCCTCAATACTTACATCTTCTTCAGGCACTATGTCACATACCCTGCTCACGTCTTGGATGCCCCCACTCATTGAGAACTCACATTCACCCCGCCCCCCCCCCTTCTCCCCTTCTCCCACAAAGACCCTGAATAGCTTAATCTTATCTTCAAAGAATACATTCTACTCTGATGCAAATAACAAGCTCCCCTAAGAACTTTCTCGCAAACAATAGTAACCTTTCTAAACTAAATTTGCTACTTTCATTGTATAAATGTAAATATGGTTTTTGTCACGCATTGCATACATACAATTATTAGAACAATCAGCAACGCTTTGTAATGAAAACTAAAACACACACACGTACAAAAGGCAAAGTATGTACAATACAGAAACAACGCAGCCTTGTATACAGACCCATTTTAACATTCAATAAAACTTGATTTCAAAGATACACCAAATGTAATATACGCACGAAACAGTACAATAGAACAAACCAAGGGAAACAAACTTAATGAAACACACACGGGAAACAGTTTAATAAAATACCACGGAAAACGGGCCTATAATATTCATGATAAATATTAATTCACTGCTCACCCAGTTTGGACTAAAGGGTACTTTATAACCGTTCGTGGAGTACCCGTATAACTGTGCTACATGGCTACATGGTTGAACAGGGTTTTTAGGGATTTGTAGCTGTTTGATTCTCATCCCTGAAATGTTATCCCACAGAATGCAGTTCTGCAGGGGGAAAATGTAAATAATAGGAACTCCACAGGGGAGCATGTACAACAGGGGTCTACCGATCATCAGTAGAAAGATCCCTGGTCGACGATTGTTACCATTCGTATACAATCTCGGAAGGTGGGCCGACCTGAGTCATAACTCACAGGCCTCGATCTTTCCCTGCTGCACTTTACCGGATGTTCGCGGACAGGGACAAGACGATATGGTGATTTGTAACGGGTGTTGTGAGAATTGTCGTGAAATGATAGTCATTACACATCGGTTTGTAAGGCTGATAACCTGTCTTACCTGTAATCTGCACAATATTCAAACTTGGACTCGCCCAGAAATATATAGTCCCTTATATCTATATATATAGGCCTGTATTGGACAACATTATTATGTCTGCCTTTTCTGGGTACTTTAACTAAACTCCACTTTTAAATGTATATCTCTTGGGGATATATTTAGGGAGTTAATTGAGGTTTCTTGGAAACCGATTTACTCCTTGCCCCAGTATACAAGGAACTTCTTTTGTACCAACGCCTGTAATGTCTAACTGACGCCATTCTCCTTGCCAGCTTCTCAAGCCTCAGAGATGTGTTAATCTGTGCCCTGTATCCTGTCAATTTTCAAGGCAATCTGGAAATGTCTCAGTTTTTACATATGCTTGGGGTAAGTTTAAATTATAGTTTACGAGTACCTAGAATGTTGTCTTGTAAAGTAGTCACTGCTGTAGAGAAATCCATATCGGCTGTGTGATCTCACTTAGTTCTACCATTCTTGATTCGCTAGAG